GTTAAGTATTCATCTGTTACTGTTTTGCTAAAATAAAGTGATTAAAAAACACATTCCATCTAAGAACACTGAAAAAAGTACCAAAAAAGAAAAATAACGAAACTTTAGTAAATGTTTCGTCAAAGAATAATCAAAAAAATAACTCCTCCTACCAAATTTCTACGCGTCCAAATATTCTGAAGAACCAACCGACTACAAAAGAAAAAAAAAGAAATGTTGGTAAAGTTCATTAAAATAAAATTGGAAGAAAAAACAAAGATCATGTATGAGTCACATTTATTACATCAATTAATAAGTTATTTAACCTAAACTAGTAATATATGATGACTAAATGTAAAGCAAGAAAGAGCTCTTAATATTTGAACTAAATATAATATGAAGGATTTACTTAAATGTAATATGAATCGTAAAATTTTATTTTTTGAATGAAGTATATTGCGCAAAAAACAAAAGATGATCAGCAATCGTATGATATATTACCAATCAACTAGTGTACCCTTGGATTTTGCCGGATACCTAAAGATAGCTTGTTATATTTGGAATGAAATTTGATCGGGCTCCTGCGGAGCCCGGATCAACCAATTGTCATGTCGGCGATCATCATGTGCCACTCCGAAATTGATCGATGTTGCAAATGTTTAACATGATTAACATGTCGGACATAATTAATATGCCGAACATGATTAACATGTCGAACCTGATTAACATGTTGGTTATGATCAACGTATTGAACATGATACATAGTAAATATATTAAATTTCTTCGTATATGTATAATTTATTATAAATATAGGTCAATTTTCTTGTTGTAATAAAAGGGAATAAATAAAGTTTTCATTTTTAAGTTATAAAGTGACAATTTTTATCAAGTGAAATCCTTTATTCGTGTTTGGAGGTATATGCCGACGTACAGCGCTATACAACACGTCTGATCGGATAATTTTGATACATTGTTTAACATATTGTTTAATTATACACTAATTAACCTTCTGCTACATAACCACATAAATTGCTTAATAATTTTAAGCGTAAAGAACTGATACAACACAATCAAACTTGATTTACCCAATATAACAGTTATTTGGCACTTCGTGCCGAATAACTATTAAATATATTTCAGTATTGATAAATGTACTGCAAATAAAAGAAATATTGCCGTTAAATGAGACCATCACAAGGACTATTCAATTTTAATTGTTCATCAGGTTTTGGCTAACAGAATTGATCAGTGATCTGATTTTCCCGAATTACTGAAAAGTAGAATGTTTTGATCATTTTCGCTATAATTTATCTATCTTACCTATACCGAATAAGGTTAAAATACAGTAACTAATGTGATATAGTAATCAAAATGTTTGCCAGTTAATATAGTCAATGACAGCTGGTAAATTAAAATCAATATTTGGTTATACTTATTATCCGTAATTTTATATTTCAATCGTTCATTCAGTTCATAAGAAATGGCAATAACAGTAACTTCTTTGTGTGATCAAGTTATCAACTAAGAATCTGGTCATGTCATTCCATAGTCCGTATAAAGTTTTATTATGTAATTCAATTGACTGTTACTGCTTTGGTTCCAAGAAAATATCCAAAGAAGCAATAAGAAGAGAAGCGTGACGTCTATACGAAAATTCAGAAGGTATTCAAGAATTTAGAAAAAAAAATCTTAAGGTGAAGACCAAAATGAATTTGAAGGGTTGGTTTTGTGAAATTAAATCTCACATTTTTTTTATATTTTTTTTTAATATTATGAACTTGTTTTTTTAAATTGCTTTGGTAAATACAATCTCTTAAATTTCTAAAGCAATAAATAAAAATCTATTTTATGGAAATAAAATTTACGCAGTTATGTATTTTCTGCTCTTTAATTAAAAAAAAATTTAGAGTCAACATTAATTTTTGAATGTGTAGACGTAGTGATAATTATTTTCTTACAACATATATTTTTATTTTTATTTTTATTTAACAGTAATAGTTAGCGAATACAAATTTTATAAACATATCAAAAGTAATGAAAAAGTAAAATAAAAAAATGAACTAAACTATCAGAAGAATCTACTTCGACGGTGGGGCAATTAAACACGAAACTATTAAAGATATAACCAACTACACCTAAAAACCATTTCTTTAATTAACCCACTACCTCCCATACACTAGCCGAAACTTGGTAAGTTGAAGCCCGCCCTGCAGAAGAAAGTAAAATTGACCCAATAAAATTATATAAATCAAACTACTAAAATCTACGATGGCGCTTTCTTACAACATATATTAAAACAATCAAAAGATATTATTGGGCGTTTTTTATAAAACTAGTAACGATTTTGTTGATCATTTGTTGATCATTTATTTTAAATTTATTATAAAATTTTGTCACGAGATTTTCTATGGAAATCATTTCTCAATTTGTTATTAAAACACCTGCTGAATTGCCTCGAAATTAAAAATCATTTCCCTTTTTATAAAAAAATTTCCTTTTTGGTAAAAAACTCTCAGATTAATCTTATATAACTTTATGTCAATGTCAATGACAATGTCAATGTCAGTGACAATGTCAATGTCAATGTCAATGTCAATGTCAATGACAATGAAAAAAACTTCTAATGCCAACTTTTCGCAAAAACTCTTCCTGTGCCACTAAAAGTCCCTGTTAAATTGTTGCATCATTCAATATTTGCATAATTTCATTTTTTGTTGATCATTAAAATTTCATAAAATATTGCAAAAAAATAAAAAAATTGTAAAAAAAACGTTTCAGCGTTTTTTCATATAATATTATTAAAAAAAATGCCAAAAACTTTTTTTTTTGCATTACTATTAAGAAAAAAACGTTTTGGCATTTTTCCATATAAAATTATAAAAAAAATAACGCAAAAACGTTTTTTCTTCATTTTTTATTTTTTTAACAAAAAATGTCAAGACTGACGTTTTTAATTAAAAAA